CTTCACTGTGAGTGTTTTATTGTTTACACTCCAGTTTTTTTCAAAAATTAAAAAATTAAAAAAAAGAACTGCAGACCACACTTTTTTATATTTTTTAGTGGGCAAGCCATGTTTCCACATACAAAAATACACATAATATTTCTATTTAAAAAAATATTTTAGAAGCATATAACAATACAACGACTAGATTTGGTGTCACAGTTTGCTCCCAATTCATACTGGAATATTGCCAGCAATAATTAATAAAGCTTGTTCAGAAAACCATTTATTCCCGACATCATATTCAATCGCTAGTTTTCAGGATATTGTAGCAATTGTGTTAAATTTGTTTTTAGTATAAATTTTGTTAATTGCTGAACATATATAGATTCGCCTGTTCAGTTTATCTCTGTTGTAGTGTAGCTATCAGGGGCAAAATTCTTCTCTCGGGTTTCTCCACACTTGTCAGGGGGGAAACTCGTCTCGTCTCTATATCGTCCCCTTGAGGTACGGGATCGGGAAAGTCACTTTAACTTTACAGTCAAATAAGGCACACACAACGAAATACGTTTCAGCTCTCGTCTTAGTCGGTCAATCGAGCACTCTATAAGACACAGCACCCTGGGGAAAAATCCCCAAGACTCGCAAGGCTGACCCAAGACTAGCCCAAGACTGGACTGCCTCAAGGCTCGCCCCTGGACTCTCTCGGACTCGACTCGACTCTCCAGGACTGCCTTCTCTCTCTACTGCGTCTATCGTGGAGTATTCGCCAAGACCAACTCAAACTCTCTTTATTCATTTTCAAAACTCTGACCAATTACAATGCAGTAAAAAGACTCTAGGGCGTAACCTTCAATCATAACGCCAATCACACTAAGTACTGAATACGTCATATCTTTTGATTAATCGTTCACTACATTAATAACTACGGATGTCAGAATAGCGACGGTATCTTGTAATTAGTTCCAAACCGCTGAGCCAAGTTCCGTCCAAAACTTCAAATAGACCTAAACGATGACAGACATAACACAGCAATTCGCTAATAATCAGTTAATTAAGTCGGTCAACAGATACGCAAAAACAAATTCATGACATAGCCACCAGTATTTATTTTTAGAAATTTGCACATGTTTACGCTGACTCATTTCACTAGTGAGAGTATTTGCTGTATTTTATCTGTGATTCACTGATTTATGAATAGCTTTGTAATTATATGTCTTCAGAAATATTGTATTTGTCGTATTCTATGGGACTATACCGATATCTAGTGGTTTCTGATTTATAGACAATATTTAATTATTTGCTTTCCCAGTATTGGAGGAAAGTCATTGTAAAGCACGCCGTTGGCACATGTTGATGTTAGTCCCTTCCATTGGAGGTGTTACGAAATTGTTTCGTTGAGACATGGTTCTCTATGCTATTATACTCACCGTGTATACAGTATTATATTTTATTGTATACAGTATTGTATTTTCATATGTGACTTTTACATGGTTGCGGTTCTACTAAAAGTGTCTGGGAGTGTCTAGGAGATATATCTCTCCGCCCGGGGCTGAACTACGCATTGAAACAACTCCAATTGTGAACATTCGAATACGCTTGATCGTAAAATATGATTTTTCGCAAGAATAATAAGCGATGTACCTTCAGTTGTCGTTTTATTAAACACGATTTGCAACCCACTTTTACCGACCGGTACGTTCAGTGGGCGGCCATCTTGAATGTTTGATGTCAAGCTGGGACGACACCATTTGCGTCGCGGGGATCGACGGCAGCATTGGTAAAATTTGATGTGGTGAGGTTTTGAGGGAATAAATGTAAATTGCTAGTATATATTGAACTATAAAAATAAAACAAAATCATGTTTACAAGGGCGACAATTTTGATGGAAAATGCATAAAGAATGAGTATGGGTAATTTGATAGGTGACACATACATTGTATACATATAATAATAATACATTGTAATAATAATTTAATTCATTACGTCACAATGAAAGTTGACAGATCATTTTAAGCTGTTAGTGTTATGAATTGTATACATCTTTACAAATATTTGCTAAAAATAGAAAATTGAAGATAATGTGATAAAATGAACACATCTGATAGAGGTCCAGCTAAGGTACCTTTTTACCAAATATCAAAGCATTCGGGTTTTGAAGTAAATGTCGAAAATAGCAATTTTGACTAAAAATTACAACAAATATTTGCTGAAAATAGAGAATTTGAGATATGGCCATGAAATGAACAAATCTGATAGAGGTCCAACCAAAAGTACCTATAAACCAAATATCAAAGCATTGGGTTACCGGTTTTGAAAAAGTTGAAAATACAATTGTTGATGGACGGACGACGACTGAGAAT